CTTCTGGTTAAAACCCACATTATTTAAGATAAAGAGTAGAAAAGCTAACACCTTTCTTCAACCTTTTCCTTAACCTTGCCAACTCCTAAAATAAACAGCCTCAAATGTCTGGTATTTAACATCTAAGCTGACGTTTGTGTTTCTATTTAAGTGTGGTTAACAATTAAGAAGTTAAAAGCTTGTTGTTGTTGGTCCCAAAACTTTTTATAGGAAATTAATTGTTCACAATCAGGTGTACTCTGTAGTCAATTTTGTATGATTTGTAAAATAAATGATCGCATATCACCTAATTTCCCTCTGGGATCAATAAAGTATTTTTGAATTTGAMTTTAATTGAATATTATGGTTCAAATCAACATTCACTGACTGAGAGTTACTTATTGTGTCCATTCATTTTTGCACTGAAGGAATGTTTACCCAAAATAAAAGAGCTCCCTTGATAATTAAATTACACTTATAACCTTGTTATAAGAAGTGTAAGAATAAACCCTTACAACACCCAATCACTGTGACAGCTGGCCCCTGCTGGGTGGTTGTAGGAACGTCTAACACATAACATTCAAGTCTTTTTTCTGTATTTGTTCTTTCTCAACACACACAGAAGTGTATGAAGTCTGTGATATATTTTCACACCCCTAATGTGTATGTACAGTGAATCCAGAGAGTAATCACAGACCTTCACCTTTTTGTTACACTATGACAACATGAAGAAAGTTTCTCTCAAACTTTTCTGAATTTACTGTAAATAAAAAAAACTAATAAATTACAGGAACATGATTAAGTCTTTGTTTAATACCTCAGTGATGCAGCTTTGCAATGATTAGAGCTACAAGTCTTTTTGAATATGATGTCACAAACTGGTACACGTGTCTTTATACAGTTTCACCYGTTCCTCATCACAGCTCCACTCAAGCTCCATCAGGTTGGATAGGAAGTGTCGGTGCACAACCATTTTCTGATTTCTTCAGAAATGGCTGGGCCACTTCAGGACCTCCAGAGTTGTTCTGAAATCCCTGCTTTGATATCCTGGCAGCTTCAGGTCGTTGTCCTGCTGAAAGACGAACGGTCGCCTCGRACTGAAGTCAGGAGCACTCAGGAGCAGGTTTTCATCCMGGATGTCTCTGCACATTGATGCAGTCATCTTCCCCTCTGTACTAACTAGTCTCCCAGTTCCTGCCATTGAAAACCTCCCCACAGCATGATACTACCACCACCATGCTTCACTGTAGGAATGGGGTTGGTCTGGTTCCTCCAACCATGATGCCTGATTTTCACACCAAAAAGTTCACTCTTTGTCTCAACAGACCAGAGAATTTAGTTTCAGGTGTTTCTTTGTGAGCCTTTAACCAAGGAGCAGCCACTCTAACATACAGGCCTGGGGTCTCATTTATAAAGGATTGCATGGAAACCATACTAAAAGTGAACGTACGGCCAAAAGGCGGAAATGGCGTACGCCAAAATAATTCAGATTTATAAAACTGTGCGTACGCATGTTTCTGCGCAGCTTTCTTTTATAAATCACAGCCGCACGTCAGAGTTTGCGCACGAGGTCCCGCCTCAGGTTCTACCC